ACTGTCTATGTATTACATAGGTGATTATTCAAATTTTCGCTGTCAGTGGGTTTTGAACTCACAACCTACCACTTGGGGGGTTGACAACTTATCCACTTCACTAAGTCGCCACACCCAAGTTATTATAATTAAATTATTTTATATTAAATGATTAAAATATGTTTATACTTATTAGTCATCTTTGTATTAAAATTAGCTTTAATAAACAAAAATTTAATTAATAATTAAAAAAAAACATTATTTATTTAATAACAAAAACATTTGTTTAAAATAAACCATTTTGTTTTAATAACAACAAAATAGAAAATTTTTATCAATAATAAAATTAACATAATATTTTACTTGTTAATTACAAAAATCATTTATGTTTAAAACAAATTATTTACAGTATTCATTACAAGTATAAATTTTATTGTTCACTATTTTATAAGATAAAGTTATAATATAAATTAAAATCTAAACAATTTACTCTATTTTAATAACTGATCTATAAGTATTGGGAGCTATTAAAACCAAAGACACTTTCAAAAACATAATAATTTGTGAACATTAATATATATTAAAGAAACAAGTAAGTTTATAAGTTTTAAGAAAAATCAACAATACAATGCACCTGACTAAAACTTATCTAGTTAATAAGATCAAAATCATTTTAAAGAGATGATGAAACATTGCATTTATAGAAAAAAATTTACATAATTTGAGAAATAGAAATATGCAGTATTTAAGTTAAACCATATTCACTTAACATTAATTTGTCAAAAACATCAAAAAATCCCCAACTTAGCAATTAAAAAAAAATTAGATTTGAATGTCAAAGAAGCCTGTAAAATTGTATAAACATTTGTAAAGCATACAAAATATTGGTTTATTGAATTGAAAAAACCATAATATTAATAAAAAAAATTTTATATATAGTCTCAACTTTGTCTATAGTGAACTGAATATAAAAAAAAAGTTGTTAAAAGTTTGTTATAAAAAATTTTAAACCAAACTATTGTAAAATTTCAAGTTTTGAGTTCGTTATATTTAACAGCATATATAATATGAAGTTAGTCAGTAGAAACGCACCATATCATTTTAATGAAATTTTTTTTAGCAAAAACTTAATCAAATTTAATAATTTTTTTTTAAATGAATTCTATAAGTTTTTAGGATTGTTTTAAATTTTTTATTAATTTGATAAAATTATTGTTGAGTTAATTTTGTTTAAAGTTTTAAAAAAATTTACTTAGAAAAAATGTGATGCGTTTATAATGACTCACCCCATATGTATAATATATATGTTTTTTTTTTAACAAAATCTTTGCATTAACCGAAGTTCCGGACTATTATCCGGGCGATTATCCGAACTCAACCTAGTACACATTTTCTGGGTGCAAATAACTTACGCCGTTATACGACAATATCAACTCATACAGGAGGATCCCCAAATTTCCGGGTCGGAACCATCGGATTTAGCCCGGCATTTAGTAATACAAGTTAACTATTTTGAGGTCAAAATTATCAGCTGGGCAGCTTTACTTAATGAGTGGGCTATGGTTCATTAGTAAAACTTTTAGTGATCTTGGGCAAAATTAGTTAATTCCGGCCCCGCCGATCATAATTCCGAAGTATTCCGACCCGGAATTTGGGGATCCCCCTGTATGAGTTGACAATATCGGACTTTTAAACAATGCCAAATTTATTAAAGTACAAAAAATACTTTTGGTTTTGACTTTTAGATTTCATATAATACCAAATTATTTTAAGTGATAGATGGGCATAAATTTCATAGTAAAAATCGGCGGAGAATTACTATTACTTTCATATAATGTTGAAATGCCGAAAGTTTCCGACATTATATAAAAATCATATAGTTATAAAGGAGAAGTTCGCGATCTACCAATTTGAATAATTTTACCACTATTTGAACCGGAATCACTTGTTTTGAATCTTTGTTATAAACTCAAGGAAAGTTTATTTGGCATAAAAAAAACTTTTCATTGTAAGCTAGCTGCATTCCAACCCTATAGAAAAACCATATTAACTTCCCGACAATTTTTACTATTAAATTTGATATTTTTATACGATTTACCTATTAATTAAGTTTACATCGCTAAACCTGACCTATCTATGGATATTTCGGGTCTAATGAATCAAATAACCGGGTTCAAAAATTGCACATGTGGGTACAAATAGCAAATATTGGCGTACTCATTTACATGTACCAATCCTCTAAAAACATTCGAAACAGTTTATTATGCATCACGTTTTATGTAAAAAATAGATCCACATTATTTGTCACACTGGGATCTTTAGTTTACATTTTATCAAAAATTCATGCGTTACTTTTAAGTTTTTAAAGGATTCACAATTTGATTGTCGAATTGTGACACGTAACTACGGAAGATCGCACTAAAGAAATATCATATATGCATTACCTATTATGGATTCACTAAAGGTGTTTACGTCGTACGTATTTACGTGCGTACGCACTTGAAATTAGTACTTGTATGGCGTTGCACCTTCAGGCACCTAATACTTGCCCGGAATTACTAATTAACACATGCAAGGAGATTTTACTAAGTGCAACTTCACGCATGTTTCAACTTCAGACACGACATTTACACGGAAAAAACGATTATGTTAGATGGAAAATGGTGAAAGGTATTGTAGTAAACAGGAAGAGAATTATTCGAGGATATCAATGAGCGATTATACAAAGTGGAGAACGTTACAAACTTTAATCCGAAATATTTCGAGACCTACGTATCGCCATTGACGACTCTTCAGAACTTATATAAATTGTTTTGCTGATTACTATATGGTACCTATTAAATTCATGTGTTCAATTACTGAACCTCAAAGATATCAATATTACAATTAGAAATAAATTTTTAATAACATGATTTACAACCTTCTTTTGGCATTATTCATGTATAATCCTCACTCTCATTGCTGTCAACTACGCCCGTAAATTCTGTCACATGGAGGACAAAAAGCTTCAGATAACCTGATCTTTGCTTATTATTCCTGCCTACAGTTTACAGCTATTTACTGCTTGTTGAATAGAAATTATTTAGAGTACAAGCTTCATATTTGATCAATGACCAATATTGTGTACCAGACAACAAATAGATGTCTATTACACAATTGGTTCAAACATTCAAAATGAAATACACAAGGAATAACATTGCAAACCAGAATATACATATAATAAACCAACGTTAGAATAATATTAGCTTAATTGCATATCTTTATTATAATTTTGCCTACGATTTATAAGTCTATATCATTAATACTGCATTATGATAAATCTTATGACACCGAGATCTTTGAGCATAAATGATGCGATCCTTCAAGATCCAAATAATTCTCACTTGCCATGTCGATGGGACTTATCGATTATAACAAATTGTGAAGGAAGCATATATTTGATCCGGATATGTTACATTTCAATAATACTATGTTTTATGATTTCAACTTTATCTATAATTATTTTAGCTTATAAGACTATCTGGAACATTCCAATAAAAAACATTAGTATGGATCCTATTAAAGGATTCTTGATTTGGATGATTTTACATGGGATATGTACGCATAGTATGTATTTTTATTTAATAAAAGTATTTAAATCAAATCTTTATAAATCATTAATTATCCATAGTATATAAAATTCAAATTTTTAGATTCAAAGTTGAAATATCTTGTGCTATAGTTTATGTCTATAGTTAATTCAATAGTTAATTCAAATATTTTTTATCTTCAGTTCGAGGCGTTTCAATGCTAATAATAACGAATGATTTGATGCACGATAACTATATTATAAAATCGATTATTTCATCTCTCGGTTGGGCGTTTGGGTGCATTGCTATTGCAACCTACTTAGTTAGCATGTAATACTTCGTCTAAAAATAATGTTTTTAGTTATAACTTATTCATGATTATAAACTCTATAATTTTTTTATTTTAGATTCAAAATACTTCCTCGATTAGCATTACACCAACATACTGTCTACAGTATCAATGCTGATCTCCCTGAAGACCATCTGACAGTCAATCGTTTTATACCGAACATTAACTCGGTGCTTAAAGTATATTGGGCATATGTAATATTTACATTCGTTTTTACTTCTGTTTTGTCAATAATAAAAGGTTATTTTCAAGGAACTGGTGAAGAAACTCCATTTGATATAACTCATACTCTTCTAGGAATTGGGTTTGGTGTTTCAGAAGTGTTAGGAATCGTGTGTTTTATTAAGTATGGAAGATTAATTATTAAATTGCTTGATGAAAGTACTACACTAATTGGGTTGATGGACATAAGACATTCGCAAAGTACGACTTTATATTTGGAAAGTTATCGTGCTCATTTGAACAAGGTATGTTTTGTTCTTGTTCTAAAAAAAAATTGTTAAACCACATTGTTTATCAAATACTTATACGTATACAATACACAGCTCAAGATTATGAATTTTAGCCTCTTTGTCATAGTTTGTTGGTTCGGGTTTTTAGGTTTTTTCATTGCCCTCATGAGAAGGACAGTAGAGAAATATATGTTATTGTACCTAGCTATGGCTGCTTTAAGCTTAGATGGTACCAATATAATAATGTTGATCACACTTTTTGGAATCATTTACGGGTATGCTTAACTACAGAATATGGGTTAAAATACATACCTATAATCCTTTATTTTGTTATTTATTTAACTTTTTTAATTTATAGTGAGATACACAAACAATACAGTATACGAGCAGAAGAAATTACCATTTCGATGAATTATTCTGAAGATATGACTTAATGCTATTTTGATTATTAAGTTAGATGTAAAATTATGTAGAAATTATATATGGTTATGTCAAGCATACTTATGCCAAAATTATGCTCTAATTTATAAACAAATATGGTTATTATGATGTACGTGCGTTCTTGAAATTATAGCAATAAATTTGCTCAACTATTTAAATTTGATTGAAATAATTATCGCTATTCTTTTCAAAATCAAATCAATCTGATGAATAATATTAAAGTACGTCATTGGTGTTTCTTAACATATATATTATTATATTTTTATAAATAATTTTAAGGAACTGCTTTGTACCGTATTGTCTTTATCGAATTTATCGTTATTAGGATCAAATACAGTGATACCTTCATTAAAGTTTTCAGAAACGTGTTTGTGCTTCATAATTGTGGATCACTTGTATGGCGAAATGTCTTGTACTCTTCTGCACGATTAAGAATCTAAATAAGGTTCACGTCATACAGGATGTAATTGCCAGGTGCTGTGGTGTAATTACTGTTTGTCTCATATTTGTTACAGAACCGAACTTTCTTGAATATAGACTGAATAAATCTATAATCTATAGTATTAAAATGATTAATCAACTGAAGATTTCAAAAAAAAGATGTTAATTCAAAATGATTATGAATTCATAAATAATATACATTAATCATTATTATAAAAACATCTTTTTGTAAAATGTTTTAAAATTTGAATTTCTAAAAATGTAATAACTGTAATTATAATTATGTAGTTAGAAATTGCATGAGACTTTTCTATATTTAACTCAATTTTTTCTAATTTGGTGTAGCAGACTATATCTTGATTTTTCCTAATTTGTATAAGCATATGTATTACAGTACAAATGCTAATAAAGTTAAAATATAGATAAAATATTATATCCAGTTTGAATAAAATTTTGAATATATCATAACTATACTTAAATTTGCAATATTCCTATTTCAAAATATTAACTAATTATATTTTATAAAAAGGTACATTTACATAAACAACTATCTATATAAAAAAAAAACAACATAATAATGAACAGATGGGTGTTAACAGGTGACATGTAAATTTCTCTAAGATGGCATGCAGAATAACCTATAAGAAACAATGTGTGATTTTTTGACCTGCAAAGCAATTACTTAACCTTATGCATATATTTGCAGCATGAGATGTATATCAGGTTTGTGGCATAACAAAATTCTTGCATGGCTTTAATGTGTGCCAAGCTTATAATGCAAATTTTCTAAACTATGAATCAATTTCAAGATCAAATAAGACTTAACATGGTCAAAAAACTTCAAAACAAACTTTTATTTTGTCAAAAATCAGCATAAGTAACTACCTTTAATACTTTAAAAAATGTTTGCATTGGACAATTTTAATGTATAAACTACTCTCCTATAATTCCAAAACCCTAACATAAACGAACTTTAAAGAATTTTTGCTGTCATGAACCTGGCACACATTCAAATACTGAAAATTTTTTAAAGTTCATTGCTATAAAGACTAACATTCATATTTAAATTAGAATTAACACAAAATGGTGAATCGTTTGAAGAAAATTTTTTATTGGGTAAATTTTTGACAAAATGAACAACTTTGACAAAACGAACGTTTGCTTTAAATCTTTCTGATCATAAGAATTTATTTGTTCTTCAAGGATCTGCGCCACTATACATCACATTCCTAACAGTGCGACAATATATGTATTAACTTAATGCAATACCGATATTTCTCACGTTCCTGGTTTCGCGCAACAACATCGCGCAGTTATCTTTTTAATTAATGTATAATTTTTTAATTTTTTTTTTTTTTTTTAATATTAAAGGTGAGGCTTAATGTATAATTTCGTGTTATGATGTTTTTATAATTAATAATAAAATTTTAATAATGCATAATTAAAATTATGTAATGTAATTCATTGAAATTTAAATAAACTATATAGTTGCCATATTTAATGAAAATAAAAAAATTTCAATAACTTAACATTAAGACAGTTCCATCTATACAAATATGGTGCAATAATGAACAGCAGGAATCCGATGCTGAAGAAATTAATCAAATTACTATTACAGCAAAGGCACAAACTTTGATTCAGAATTGATGTTATTTTAAAAAGAAATTAGATTTACTAGATACATTAACTCCAGTTGACGAATATTTAATATCTTACTTGATTTCATAACTTGCCTTTATAACATGTAAAATTTGCTTTGCGTAACTCGTTATTTGAAACATATTTGCATCAATTTACATAAATTAATTGTTGTGGTTCGAATTAATTGAATTAATTGAATAAACTCGAATAAGTAATTTAATCAAATGATCCGAACACTCTTCAAAGTTTAATTCTCAAATCACATTAATACGAGTCCAGTCACTATCCGTGAAGCAGTTTCAACCATATGTGCTTCACTAATAACTGTTGAAAATGACCAGTTGTTTGTTGCAGTAATGTTTGCATATATAACAAAATTAATCGGGAAAGAAATAACAATATATATTTAGGATTCGGTCATCTATTTTAAAATGATTTTGAGGTATTCGATTATCGATTCTGATTTTTAGAAACATAACCCAGAATTATTGTTAGTAAGGTTGTAGAGTAGCAATCCCGAAACAGTGTAGACTATCTTTGGAAACATGTTACACTATTTTGGGTTGACCCGGATACCCGGCCCACCAATCACTACTTTTTGGGAACACACGTTTCACCAATAAAAAAACCATTTTTCGCTTCGATAGAACGTCTATATTTACTATGCAAAAATAATCAGCAATAATCAGTATCCCATGAACTTTGTTTAGAAGACCGTTTATTGAACCAGACAAAATTATACTGTGTAGTGAAGGTAACTGAAAAGTTTTCGGCTAAAATTATTTTATTTCGTTAGATTTAAATAAACTATTTCTAACTGTTAATTTGTGTAGATGCAAGCTCTTTAGTAGTAAAAGATCCGGGTTTGAGATTAAATTTGGTCGGTTATTGTAGTGTGTTTGGGTTTGTCAACCGTAAATTAATAGTTAAGGTTTTGGGTTATTTTATCGATTCTTTAATGTAATGAATTGGGTTTATTAATAATAAATATTACATTTACTCCACTTTACACGCATCTGTCTATTCTCTAAATATAAATAATAAACTTTTTTCTTGCATATATTTTATTGTCTGTAAGCTTCTTTATACGAAGTTTTAGTACTGTAATATTAATTAAAAATTATGTATTAATCATGCGAATGGCTTTCTATATTTGTGAGATGGGCCACCTCTAGTGAAGTTTGTGACGCAGTAAATGGCCATCCTCTAGTGTAGTTTGTGACGCAGTAAATGGCCATATGTTTACGTCACGTCATGAACTCATTATCTTCGCGTAAAAACTTAGTTTGGACACGATGAATTATAAGAAATTTTCGGTTGATGGTAAAACTTTGTTGGACACGGTATGTTTAAATTATAAAAACATTTTCGTTTGATTATTAATTGACATGACCCAGGTCAATTCTTAATGCAGTTCATATTATAATCAACGATAGCAATTAATGATGCAAATAAATAAATTTTCTTTTATCATCATGTATTTTATTTTCTCTTTCTACTAATGAATCCACAAAGTTATTCTTTTCTGACCCGTGAAACCTTTAACCGATTATTGGAAACATACACAAACAAAGATAAAACAAAGTTTGATGGATAGAGAACATTACATTGAATGTCTGAAGATATTAAAAAATCCCACCAAGCAAAATATTACACGTCCAATTCATAATATTCAGGAACGACAAACTTATAATATTCAATATTCAAGTCATATAATTTATACTATCAAGAACGCCCAATTCAAGAACACCCAACACAAGAATGCTCAACTCAGGAATACACAAGAACGCTTAACTCACATTTCCGAAGCAAGTAAATAAAATTTTTTTTTTTTTTGATTTAATTAAAATTTTACTGGGCTGGAAAAAAAAAATTTTTACTGATATAATTTGAATTGAAGTAACGGTGTATATAAGAATGGTTCAAGTCAAAAAACTCTTGCAGTTGCCGAAAAACGAACTGCAATACTAAATCTTTCTCTTGCAAAAAGAAAAATTAGTTATACTCAAGGCAACCATTTTTTTTAATTTGCAAATTTATACCGATTGAAAAATGACGTATGTCGTTTTTCAATTGAAAAATGACACGTGTCAATAATTGACAGAATTTAAAAATGACTCGTAACATACATATCTCAACCCTTATTTAGAAGCAAAAGATACATATTTCGAGAATACACCTCCACCAGAATGGACATACATGGGATATCTGAAAACAATAAGATCTTTCTGCATTTCTGAAGCTCGTACGTTGGAAGACCAAAAAATCATCCAGAGAAAACGTTACCTTACTTACTTAAGTAACCTTCTTATTGAAGAGAAAATGATATCACCAAAAAATACGTCATTTACTTGCTTCAGCAGGTATGTTAATTTTCTATATCTCTAAATAGCCGAACGAGAGATCGTGCAACCTGAAGGGGTGTCGTTCCTCGCATTGCATCTTGCGGTCTTTTTGCTGTTATACAGCTTGAAGTGGGTGTTGTTCCTTCTTTGAGTATGGGGTGTCGTTCCTTCAAAAAGACTATGTAAATTAAATTTATAGTTGTAAATCTTTTGTACGGGTTCAATTCATTCATATCAATTTAGCGATCGATATATTTCCTACATTGCTCTACACGTTTTACAAACCAAGTCAATTGATGAAATCATAACATAAATAAAGAATTAATTCATATGCTAAATCTGATCAAAAGCTTTACGATATGCTGAAAGTACTAACAAATATAATCTTGGGGCCATAATTTTTCGGGACATAATTTTTAATCTTTTCGGGATTATAACCTTTTTGGGAGTATGATCTTTTCGGGATTTTATTTTTCAAGATTATGAATTTTCAAGATTTAATTTTCGAGATATTACCTCTTGAGATTTTGTTTTTTCAAGATTTAGTACATCGGGATCTAGTGCCATTGGGATTTCACTCTTCAGGATATTGACCCAAAATCAACTTGATAAATATTGCAACAAAACTTTATTATAGAAATAACTCGCAAAAACCAAAAAATAATATAAACAACATAGTATAAAACTATAATAAAAATCAAATATACTATGTAAAAAATATAAATAAAACAATAATGAAAAAACCCAACAAATCAGAAATAAAATTGTTAAAATAAAAAAACAAATAACTTATCAAAAATATGTTACAATTGATAATAAAACTAATATTTTTGCCTGCTTTCATATAATTGGTTACAAATTGTGGACGCACTTTACTATGTATATGTATAACCAGCTAATTTGACAAAAACATTATTAAAATATATATTATTAGAAATAAAGATACATAAACTATTAAACAACAATTTTAAAAATAATTATGATTAAGTATATACTTACTGGCTAGCAATTTAGCTAAAACATTTTTAAAATATATATCAATAAAATAACATTATACAATTTTTAAAATAATTGTAATTAAACTTATACTTACAACCTAATAATTTAACAAAAATATTTGTTAAAATATATATTGTTAGAATAAGAATTTATAAATTATCAAATAATAATTTTGATTTTAAAAATAATTATAAATAAGCTTATACTTACTGGCTAATAATTTTTAAAAAAGTAATGATTAATATAAACATATCAATAGAAATAAAACTATATAAACTATAAAAACTATAATTAAGCTTATATTTACCAGCTAATAATTTAACAAATCATTTATTAAAATATTTATTATTAGAAATCGAGATGTATAGATTATAAAATAACAATTTAAAGAATAATTTATAATTAAGTTTATACTTACTTGCTAACAATTTAACAATAATATTTATTAAAAAAATATTTTTAGAGATAAAAATTATAAATTGTCAAATAATTATTTTATACTTACCACCAAATAATTTATCAAGAACAATGATCATGAGAAATAAAGATGAGTAAACTTTAAAAATGTCATTTTAAAAAAATAATTAGAATTAAGCTTATATTTACGGACTAATAATTTTACAAGACGTTTATTAAAATATTTATTGATAAAAATTACGATGCATAATTATTACTAAAAATGTTTTAATAATAATTATAAATAGCATATAATTACCAGCTAATAATTTAACAAGAACATTTATTAAAATATTTATTATTAGAAATAAAGACGTATAAATTATAAATAACAAATTAAAAAAATTATTATAATTAAGCTTATACTTACATGCTAATAATTTAACAAGAAAATTTTTAAAATATTTATTATTAGAAATAAAGATGCATAATTCTTATTAAACAATCATTTTAATAATCATCATTAGCATATAATTACCATCTAATAATTTAACAAGAACATTTATTAAAATATTTATTATTGGAAATAAAGATGCATAAATTGTTATTAAACAATAATTATAATGATATATTATAATTAAGCTTATACTTACTCGCTAATAATTTAACAAAAATATTTATTAAAATATATTATTAAAAATCGAGGCATATAAATTATAAAATAATAATTTTAAAATAATTATAATTAAGCTTATACTTACCCACTAATAATTTAACAAAAACATTTAATAAAATATTTATTATTAGAAATAAAAGCATATAAATTATAAAATAACAATTAAAAAATAAGTTTATATTTACGTTCTAATGATTTGACAAAAACAATTATTATTAAAAAAAGGACGTATAAATTATGAAATAATTTATAATTAAGCTTATACTTACTCTCTAATAATTTAACAAAAACATTTATTAAAATATTTTTATTATTAGAAATCGAGACGTATAAATCATAAAATAACAATTTAAAAAATAATTATAATTAAAGCTTATACTTGCTAATAATTTAACAAAAAACATTGATTAAAATATTTATTATTAGAAATGAAGACGTGCAAATTATAAAATAACAATTTAAAAAATAATTATAATTAAAATTATACTTACTGGCTAATAATTTAATAAAACATTTATTAAAATATTTATTATTAGAAATAAAGATGCATAAATTATTAAACAATGATTTTAAAATACCGCATTTTCGCGGAATAACGCGCAGGGTGTTATTCCGCGAAAATACGGTATAATAATAATTAAGCTTATAATTACCAGCTAATAATTAAAAAACGATTTATTAAAATATACATGATTATATATAAAATTTTATAAATTATTAATAATTTTAATAATAAACTTACCAGCTAATAATTTAACAAGAAATTTATTAAAAAATTTATTATTAGAAATAAAGATGCATAAATTGTTATTAAACAATAAATATAATGATATATTATAATTAAGCTTATACTTACGCGCTAATAATTTGACAAAAACATTATTAAAATATTTAAATTATCATATCATTTTAAAATAATTACAATTAAGCTTATACTTACGGGCTAATGATTTAACAAAAACGGTTATTAAAATATTTTTATTAGAAATCGAAACGTATAAATTTTAAAATAACAATTTAAAAAAATAATTATAATTAAGCTTATACTTACGCGCTAATAATTTAACAAAAATATTTATTAAAATATATATTATTAAAAATAATAATTTAAAAATTAATTATAATTAAGCTTATACTTACTCACTAATAATTTAACAAACATTATTAGAAATAAAAATTTATAAATTATTAGATAATCATTTTAAAAAAGAATTATAACTAAGCTTATACTTACTCGCTAATAATTTAACAAAAATATTTATTAACGTATACATGATTAGAAATAAAAATCAATAAATTATCAAATAATCATTTAAAAATAATTACAATTAAGCTTATACTTACGGGCTAATAATTTAAAAAAAAAACATTGATTAAAATTTAAATCAATAGAAATAAAGATATATCAATTATCAATAATGTTAATAATAATTATAATTAAGCTTATACTTACCAGCTAATATTTTAACAAGAACATTTATTAAAATATTTATTATTAGAAACAATGGTAGAAAATTTATAAGTATACACGCAATGTATTGTACACGAGTACTTGTGTACATATAAGTACGTAGTGTACAAATAGAAATTGCACAAATAATAATTTTAAAATAATTATAATTAGGCTTATACTTACGGGTTAATACTTTAACAAAAACATTCATTAAAATATACATTATTTAAAATAAAAATTTATAAAGAGAATGACTATTTCCACCCCCACTTTTGCTAATGCCACCCCACATAAGTTGAAGTTTCGACCTATAAAAATTTTGGGCATGTGACCTTTATCTGTGTAACATAGTCGTCTGATTAAGGTTAGAATAGGGTCGGAGAGGGTCGGGGTGGCATTAACAAAGGTGGAAATAGCAACACTCTTTATAAATTATAAAATAATTTTAAAAATAATTATAATTAAGCTTATACTTACGGGCTAATAATTTCACAAAAACATTGATTAACGTTAAGATATTTATAAAGTATAAATGTTTTTTGTGCACCCCGCATGGCAGTGCCCCCAATCGGATTTCAGGATTTGTTGGTTTTTTTTTTAATTTAGGGGGGTGCACTGCCGTGCCGTTGATTCTCACTTTCCCGAAACCAACTTTCCCGAAACCAACCTTCCCGAAATACTATTTCCCGACATCACGTAGGGTTAGGATTAGCATTTTGTTAATTGTAGGTATATTATTTTTGGCAAATTGTCACATGCGTGATGTCGAGTAAGTGTCATGTCGGGGAAATAGCTTTCGGGAAGTCGTACCGTGATCCTGCCGTACAGGTGCGTGAAAAAACATAAAAATAATTATAATTAAGCTTATACTTACCATCTAATAGTTTAGCAAGAAAATATTTATTATTAGAAATAAAGACGTATAAATGACAAAATAACAATTTAAAAAATAATTATAATTTAGCTTGTACTTACTGGCTAATAATTTAATAAAACATAGACGTATAAATTATGAACTGACAATTAAAAATAATTATAACCAAGTGAATACTTACCATCTAACAATTTAACAAGAACATTTATTAAAATATTTTTATTAGAAGTAAAGGCACAAAAATTATAAAATAACAATTTAAAAATAATTCTAACTAAGCTTATACTTACTCACTAATAATTAAAGATTTTTAATAATAATTTTAAAAATAATGCAACAAATAATTATAAAGAAACAAATTAGTATAATTACACTCTCTTCGTTAATTCATTCGTTAATTCAACAGACGAGATGGGCAAAGCAGTAGCCAAGTAAACATTTAGAGCAATAAGAACCAAAATAAAGTAAAAAAATTTCATTTGCGATAATTAATCTTAGGAAAACGATAACAAAAATTATTGATTATAATAGGCGAATTGATAATGTCTAATATAGTGATGAATTATAAAAACGAGAACAAAAATTAATATGAGTTGGAAATTTTTAGTGTTGTTTTATACTAGATTACCTTATTATTGTTTTCGAATCAATGTTATAAATCCTACATATTACTATACTGTCGTGCCTGAAATTGACACAAGCCTGATCAATTTCTTTATAAAAAGGATTGTATAGAATTTGTCTAAATTTTGTTATATACATGTAAAAAATGTCCGAAAAAACTCCATTCTGTCTAGTTTTTGTCCAATTCTTTTTTTTAGTTGAAAATAGATAGAATGGTACTTTTTCAGAAAATTTCACGCACGTATAACAAATTTTAGACAAAGTTTATACAAACTTGTTTTTTTCAGAAAATTTTCACACGTATAACAAATTTTAGACAAAGTTTATACAATCTTTTTTTTTTTTTTTAAGGTTTAGGAGATCTACTTTTAATTCTAACACATTCTGGTAATATTTTCCGCATTGCTTTCAGGCTAATGTACTTGTACACGCAAAGATTCTTGAAATACAATTATAGTACGAAACTCGAATAATATATCTCTTAGTTATCATATCGTTCGATAATGATGATAGCCGTACAGATCTGCCGGGTACATATGATTATG